CTGCTAGTTATACCAGCTCAAATTTTCGATTCCGTCAATTCATTTTCTCAATTAGATCAATTCTGTTAGATTCCATATGAATAGAATGAAAGGCACAAGCAGTGCACTAAAAAAAGCTGTTAGCGCAATCCCTTTGGGATTAAAATGTGAAACACGATGTAAGTGTTAATTCTGACCAGAAAAACAAACTATTCTATATACAGTCGAAGCCGCTTATGAGAGCTCCGTATAAAGGAGCGGTACGCTTTTAAGAGCCGTTTTTCAATTCCCCGGTTTCTTCGTAATGTACTTTACAGTGCGCATAAAAGAGCGACCCGGATATAAGAGCCACTTTTTGATTCCCCGACTGCGCTCTTATAAGCGGATTCGACTGTATTTCTGAACTTTTTCTTTCATTACACTTTAATGCACCACCTACAAGTAAAGAATGCCAGTAGGTCATAAATTTGCTGATATTGTAGTATCATGTGTTCCTTGACGGTACGAAGACATCCACTACTATTTATCAAACTATATCATAAGTACTCCGCTCTATCCACCCTGAATTTTTTAACCGGTTTATGATGGTTCCAACGCATATCTGTTAGGGTCTGTTATTGGTAATTAACTAATTATACCGTAATTAGCTAATTCATCAATCAAAATATATGTGGAAATAATCCAACTGTGTACCCTTAACACCTCAATATTACTTTCAGTTCGACTTCGATAAAGCACCTTTGAACGCTCTGTGATGGATAAATCACCTGTCTGTAACGATCTGTGATGAGTAAATCACCTCATTATAATGATCTGCGATTGGCAAAATTTACCCATCACNTAATGTCTCTAGGGGGGGGGGGGGGGGGGGCCCCGCAAAATTGCTACCCTAAACACTTCAACACTCCTTTCAGGTCGTATTTCACAAAAGAGATGTAATACTGAACCAAAACCGTATTTTGGACGCAAAAAAAGTTTCGAATTCGTTTAAATCCTCGAAACCATGTTAGGTTCCGTACAGATTGCTAAAGGAAATTCGAAAACGCGTCTTTGGCAATTAACAAATAATTTCAGACAGCTGAACTCTAGTACGAAACCTTTGGAGAGTTTCGTGTTGCCTACTAAAATGGTTTTATAATGATAGAATTTTTTTCCGACTGTACCCAACCATTTTAGTAGGCGATACAAAACTCTCCAAAGATTTTGCACCAAGCTTCAATTGTCTAAAATTATTTGTTACTCGCTCAAAACAGGTTTTCGAATTTTTCCTGGTGATCAGTATGGAGCCTAAAATAGTTCCGAAGATTGAAACGAATTCGAAACCTGTTTTCCGTCCGAAATACCTTTTTTTGGTTCAGTATTGTACCTCTTTTTTTCAGTGTGTTACTGATGTCATGTGACAGAATGATAGAAAAGATGGTCTATATGGGACTCGAACCGAGACTTTCTGCTATCCGGGCAGTTGCCCTAAGCCAATTAGACTAAAAGATAGATCTTAATTATCGTTTATCACCTATCTCATCCATCAGGGATGCTAGCACATTCATTTTTGTGATTCTATGAATTTGATTTTGACGATAAAATATATTGAAAGTTATAATCGTCTCAATGCAGCTCTACTTTTACGTTAGTTCGTTTTTATGGCTACTTCGGCTCATGCTACTTTATATTCTCTTGAAATAGATAATAAAGAGGAGAGAAGATACATTTCAGGTGCAACATACGGAGAGATAGATGAGAACGATGTAAAACTGAGGTTAACTATACCTCCAATGAGGCTGGGCAGCCTCATTTCAAAAGATGCTCACCTTATGGTGCGTACTCCTTTATTCATGAACGAATATCCTTTACACCTTTCGCGTCTCGGTCAATCTACACTCTAAAAAATAAACCACTTTGCGAATCCTCCCAAAATTCGCGAGATTCAGAATAGCATCTAAAAAGCTCGCAATGCTGATAATATCACTCTTTCATTTCTACTGAACCTTTAAAGGTTCTTATTGGTGGCACACCATGAGAACCCTCTGATACAATACCTTTTTCAAGTTCGGTAGCGCCTAAATAGGTTTCGCAACAAAACACGAAACATTTGGTGTTTGTACTAAACTGTGAAAATTTCATATAAACTTCAGACGGAGCGGTAAAGGTTTGGTATTTTGTTGCGAAACCTTTTTAGGCGCTACTGAACTTGAAAAAAATATTGTATCAGAGGGTTCTCATGGTGTGCCAGCAATAAGAAACTTTAAAGGTTCAGTAGAAATGAAAGAGCGATATTATCAGCATTGCGAGTTTTTTAGATGCTATTCTGAATCTAGCGAACTTTTTTGGAAGGATTCGCAAAGTGGTTTATTTTTTAGAGTGTAGGATGTATGCATGATGTGACCTTTCGACGCAAATATTTGTAAAATGCAAGCGCAAAGATAACGTAGCAGTTATCTATCATTTGCCATAAATTGTAATTCACTGAATCGTTCCGTTAAATGAATCTCTAAATTAATTGCTATTTGGTAGCGTGATCCCAGATGAATAAATCCTATACCGAGTCTTGTCGGATCTAGGAGGATCCTACCACCCGACAGATTCCGATGGTATTCCGGGTGACCGACCGAAAGTCGGATCTGGCGGTCAGATTCCTATGAAATTCCAACGATGCCCAACTATCGAAACCGACACGTTTTCCAATAGTGATGTTCCTTTCCATTTCCGATAGGATTCGATAATAATTGTTTGATATGCTTTGAATGAGGTGTGTTATTCTTTGCATCTTATTAAAGCGGTACATGCATTTCTGAGAAGTAGCCTATGAAAACTTCGTGAGAAAATTATGTCGCTTAGGAAAATTCTCAGAAGCTGTACATTATGGGGTGTCAGAGTTCCTCGTTCCTAAGCGTTCTGTTCCTATCCAGGTTGAATTGGGTACATCCTACCTTGTCGGTTTGAAATAGTTCCGACTGGAACGTGTCGGAAGGTTGTGAATTTCTAACTAGCGGATTCCGGTGAAATCAAGGCGGAATCTAACCGAATCCTGTCGTTTTTATGAAGTTTTTCCGGATTCTGAGCTGGATATCGCCAGAATCCGTTCGTTAGGAGTCCGGTAAAATACGGATGGGTTTCGATCGTTTCTCATATGATTCCATCGAGATCCGATACCAGGTCCGGTCATTTCCGGTGGGATCTACAATTCGGGTTGAATCTCCTGGATATGAATGAGAACGTATATCAAGTTACAACTTTAAAGAGACTCTAAATGACCCGAAACGTTTATTCATTATTGTTTATCATTTTAGTTCATGAAAGTTTTCCGTTCCTATTCTTAGGAACGGGAAGGCGACACACCTACTGTACATCCAGATTTCAAGTAAGTAGGTGACGAGAATGATACCGGAGAGGAAGACAGACAAATGTTTGATAAGCTAGCAATCAGAGTCAATATCCAGATCTTTTCACATAACTCAGAATAGTTTTTTTCTCTTCTACTGCATGGAAAGATCATCTTACAATTAATTTTCATGGAGCTTTTACTAGAAAGCGCGCCTTCATTATGTTTTCTGCACTAATTTCATATCCCAATTTTCATGCAAGGCATGTTTCTGACTTCACTTAAATAAACTAGTTCGCACATATTATTGTATTGATTACAAGTATAAAATAATATAATAGTATTCCATGTTACCAACTTTCTTGTCATGCCCACATTCATTTTCAGAATAATGTCAAAGAGTGACTCGATCGTAGAGAAAAATGACTGACCAATAAATCTATAAGATATTCTACTTGACTAAAGAGCTTCAATAAATTGATGCTTCTATTATAACAATCTACTGTCTCTTTTGACACACTGCTTCAATTATCAACTGACACTATCAATCCAGCTTACAAAGAATCCGTCCCTTACAACAGCATAATCAACGAAAAGGTTACGATAACAGAATGGAAGAACCAATTTAATTCATCTGAGACTAAATCATTTTTAACGACAAAGAGCACTTTCCCATCAGTGAGGCACAAAAATCTATTTCAACCAGAGCGACTCAAACTCAAACATTGATATTCAGTTTTTATTGAGCCTACAAATCGAGCAAAAAAATACAATGTAACCCCAATTATCTCAAATGTGTTCATTCGGATCACTTCCACTATTCAAGTTCAACGAGACTACTCACGCCTTCTTCATATGTTACGTCGAACTTAAGGACGGGCAATACGGCAAAGACATTCACTTTATTTTGCTTCTTAATTAATGTATCATTTCAACCCCATTCGAGGATCGTTACCTTGACTTGGTGAAGGGGCTTGTGTGTCTCGAGGACGTTGTGAGTTGTACGATGGGGAGAGCGGGCGTACTCTCGAAAGTGTTACCCATGATGGGTAGCTCACAACCGAGAGGTGACTAAATACGATCCACTGGAGAAGGAAATGGTAAACCACTCCAGTAGTTTTACCAAGAAAATCAATAAACAGACAATCAACAAAGTTTCAAGATGTGGTGCTGAAAGATGAGTCCCTCAGGTCGGACGGTACTTCAACTACGACTGTAGAAGAATTGATGATAAGTACAAGTAATTCTGCAAATAATGACACAATTGGAACAAAGCCAAAAGGACGTCCAGTTGCTGAGCAATACAGACACGAACGGAACGATCAAAGTTTATTAAAAACACAAAAAATCGGTACATGGAACGTAAGAAGCATGAACCAAGGTAAACTCGACATAGTTAAATTGGAAATGAACCGGATGGGAGTAGACATTCTGGGCATAAGTGAATTAAAATGAACAAGGAGTGACCATTTTACATCCGGAAATTACGAAGTTTATTATTCTGGAAACCAAGACATCAAAAGAAATGGAGTAGCCCTTATTCAGAACAAAAAAATCGTCAAATCGGTGATAGGCTACCTTTTCAAAAATGACAGAATGATATTCATTCGAATCCAAGCACGACCAACGAATTTAACCATAATACAGATACCTATATGCAGCAACGACGGAAGCAGAAGAATCAATCATCACGAAATTTTACATGTATCTACAACAACTCTTAGAAGACGTACCAAAGAAGGGCGCCATCCTAATAATTGGTGATTGGAACGCAAAAGTTGGTGATACAGAAGTGTCTGAAATAGTAGATAAGTACGGTTTAGGAAAATGCAACGAAACAGGAGAAAAACTGATTGAATTCTACCAGGTAAATTTATTGATTATCACGAACATCTGTTTCCAACAACCCAAACGAAGACTGTACACCTGGACATCACCAAGCGGGCAACATCGAAATCAAATTGACTATATACTATGCAATAGAAGATGGAAAAGTTCGATAACATCAGTAAAAACACGACCAGATGCTGATTGTGGTACTGGCCATGAACTTATACTAGCTAAATTGAAAATCAAGCTAAAACGACCCAAGAAAGTATCAAAAGCAGTAAAACGCGATCTACAAAACACACCTCACTCATACAACGTGGAAGTAAAAAGTAGATTTGCTGGACGCGAACTGTCGAATAAAGAACCTGAAAAATTATGGCAAGAAATAGACAAAATAATTCATGAAGAAGTTGGGAGAAATATACCTGCAATCACAACAACGAAGAAAAGAACCTGGATATCGAAGAACACGTTAAAAATCGCAAGAGAAAAACGCGAAGCAAAAATCAATGGAAACAAACAACTTTTCTCAAAACTCAATGCAGATTTCCAACGAGAGGTAAGAAGAGACAAGACAAAACAGGTACAAAGGGAGTGTGAGAAAGTGGAAGAATAAAACAAAAGAGGTAAAACAAGCGATCTGTTCAAGAACATAAAAGAACTTCGAGGGCAATTCGTTGCCAGAAACGGTATCATATTAGATCGAAATGATAAACAACTATCAGATGCAGAAGAAATCAAGAAAACATGAGTAGAATACACCGAAGAATTATACAAAAGTGACTTTAATAAGACACAATATTTAGAAGACGGTGAATATGAATTGGAACCCGACATTCCTGAAAGTGAAGTACGATGGGCTATGCAAGCACTGATAAATGGTAAAGCACCTGGGCAAGACGAAATTCCAATCGAATTATTTAAGGTACTAAAAGAAGGCTCGATCAAAGTCTTAACAACATTATGTCGGCAAATATGGAAGACGAAACAATGGCCGTCAGATTGGAAAAAATCTATTTTCATCATGATACCGAAGAATAGAAACGTCAAAGATTGCTCCAACTATCGCACAGCCGCTCTAATTTCTCACACCTGCAAAATAATGTTGAAGGTTGTACAACGACGACTTCAATCTTTTCTCGAACGAGAACTGCCAGATACACAAGCTGGTTTCCGCAAAAGAAGAGGAACACGTGATCAAATCGCCAATCTACGATGGGTAATTGAAAAGGTAAGAGAACAGCAACAAAATTTTTATTTCTGTTTTATAGACCATAGCAAAGCATTCAACTGTGGATCATGGGAAACTATGTAGCGTACTCACAAAAATGGGGATACAACCCAGTCAGTCAAAAATAGAGAAAAAACTCGTTTTTATGCGTTGAAATGTGCGCTTTTAACGTTTTGTAACGCGTTTTCGAGCAAAAAACGACGTTTAAACGCTTGAACAAAGTATATAAACGCGTTAGAATGTGCGCTTTTAACGTTTTCCGAAGCGTTTTCAAGCGAAAAAAATGCGAAAATAATGACGTATAAACGCGTTTTTTGCTGATCTTTGACTGTCTGGGAAACACAGTTGATTGTCCTGATAAAGAACCTGTATTCGAATCAACAAGCGGCAGTAAAAACAGAACACGGAAAAACCAACTGGTTCAACATCGACAAGGGAGTACAACAAGGTTGCATCTTATCACCATACCTATTCAATCTATATACGGAACACATAATGAGGAAAGTTGACATAGATGAAACAACAGCTGGAATAAAGATCGGAGGGGGGATTATAAATAGCCTGCCGTATGCCGATGACACTACACTACTAGCTGAAAATGTAAATAATCTAAAACGTCCCTTAATCAAAGTAAAAGAAGAGAGTACAGCCGCAGGTTTAAAACTAAACATGAAAAAATCGTTTGCGATGACAAATGGATCCATCCAAGAATTCAACATCGACAACAAACAAATATAAATCATCAACGACTTCTTTTTTCTTGGTTCAAATGTAAACAAAGATGGCGACTGTAGCGTCGAAATAAGAAGAAAACTTCTGGACAGAAGGGCAATAGTAAACCTAGATAAGTTAATCAGAAGCAAAGACATCAATCTGAAAGCAAAGATCCGAATGATTAATACGATGGTCTTCCCAATAACAACATATGGTAGTGATAGCTGGACCTTGAAGCAAGAAGATCGGAAGAAGATCGACTCCTTCGAACTATTGTGTTGGAGGAAACTACTACAAATAAAGTGAACCGATAAAAGCACAAACAAATCCATCTTACAATGGAGGTGTTTGTACTGTTCATCACGAAAACCGCTCATATTGGTATCAAATGAAAGGTCTCATTGGCAAACTAACAGGATTAAAACATTAACGGCCCATGGCTTGCCTAAAGGGAGATATTCGATTTTTCAGTGAATTTTCTCTGCAGGACCCGCTTTCCCAGCAAAGTCATATTCTCGAATTTGAACCTGAAACTTTGTATGCTTGAGGGTCTCAATGAGACTAGTTTACCAAAAAAAATTCAGAAGTTTTGGACAAACTATATACGAGATATGAATCTCTCAAAATATTGGCGATTTTCTATAGANTATAGAAAATCGCCAATATTTTGAGAGATTCATATCTCGTATATAGTTTGTCCAAAACTTCTGAATTTTTTTTGGTAAACTAGTCTCATTGAGACCCTCAAGCATACAAAGTTTCAGGTTCAAATTCGAGAATATGACTTTGCTGGGAAAGCGGGTCCTGCAGAGAAAATTCACTGAAAAATCGAATATCTCCCTTTAGGCAAGCCATGGGCCGTTAATGTTTTAATCCTGTTAGTTTGCCAATGAGACCTTTCATTTGATACCAATATGAGCGGTTTTCGTGATGAACAGTACAAACACCTCCATTGTTAGAAGAAATTAAACCAGAGTATTCATTCGAAGCTTCAATAGTTAAACTGAAATCATCATATTTCGGACAGATAATAAGCAGAAACAAATCATTGAAAAAAGAGATAATGCTTGGAACAATCGAAGGCAAACGACGGCGTGGAAGACAAAGGAAAAGATGGATCGACACAATAAAAGAAGACACCAACCTAATATTCGAAGAACTGAAGATCGTGGTACACAATAGAAACAAATCGTGAAGTCTAGTTCATATGATCGCCAAGAGTCGATTTCGACTGAATAGATAACACACACACATCATTTCAACAGCAACGAACCCTACTTGACCCAAAAAATTCTTTTACTATACACTCCTTAAACCTACAGACCATCTTCCAGAACATTTGCAAACAACTCTTTCTTCTATACCTAATAACTTAGTTTAATATGAAGCATTGACCACCATGGGCATCAACATCAAGGAGTACTATTTTCCCACCAAAAAATGCAAGGGGGAAACAGCGGACTTGACTTGCAAAAGTACGTCAAAATTACATTCCTTAAAGTAGATTAAAGTAGCTCAAAGTATCACTCAAGTAGCACAAAATTAGAACAAGTAACTTCAGATAACTTCAAGTAAATGTGAAGTTGAAAAGTATGTGAAAATAAATTATTTGAAGTAGCTTAAAGTACTTCGAAGTCAAAGTAGCCTGAAGTAGCTCAAAGTAACTTCAAGTCCAAAAATTCACCGTTTTCCGTTGAAAAACTGTAATGCCACAAAATACCGCTTTCTTTAATACACAGCGCATCCATTATCAAAGTCATCAATATCATCATCAACTAATACTAGTTATTTGCCATCCAGCGAAGAGACCCCAACACAACAATTACAATCCCAACCAGAAGTACTACTATTTGCATTGCAGCAATGAGCCTGTATCGCAATATTTACAATGAGATAGTAATGTTTTCTAATCGAGAAATGGACCAACATCACAATCATCAAAATCATCATCAGGAAATAATACTTTTCAAAGTCCATACATAAACATGTAATACAATCATCAAAATCATCATCACGAAACAATGCTGTTTTCAAGTCCATTCATAGAGAAGCATGAAAATCATCAAAAGTATCATAATGAAATATAACTCGCGTGAAATTCACAGATGACGGGGCATGAAATCCATGAAAATCGTCATCACTGAAAGGTCTTTTTTTGTGTCGAGAAAGGGATAATTTCGAAAATCAAATTCTTCATATCAGGTTTTCATTTTGGGAAAAGATGGTGGATAACTGTCGGTAGGGTAACATGTGCACTGAACTTAAAGTGACTCGCTAATTATCTGTAGTGTTTGTAATGGATATGGATGAAATGAGCTCACACTCACCCTCGATGTGTGACAATGTGGTGAATATAGAGGAATGGAACGATATAGGAGAACAGTGATAGTGGAGGATCAATGTAACAGTTCTTGCCAAGCTTGAGAGGAGCTTTAGCATTTATATTCAAGTTGCCAGGGCATGGAACGATTATGAATTTTCCTAAAAAATACGGTTTTCGTCGTAATTTTATCGGATTTCTTGCCTGCCTATAGGAAATCATGCGATCCTCTGAAAAACAACTGTGCGAAGTTTTTGGGGATCCCTGGTATTAGTTTCTGTTGGATTCTGATGGAATCCGACGAAATCCGATAAGTTCCTGCAGTAATTGTGTAGGATTCCAACTGAAGGATTTTCTCGGAATTCGACAATTTTCTAAAAGATTTGTTCGAAACCCGATAGGAATCCAAGGGAAACACCATCGGATCTCATCGGATCTTATTGGTACCTACTGTGGGGTTGATTCTTCTGGGTATTATTAGATAACTTCTCGCGAGTTCACAAATAGGGATTCAATTCAGAGAATTGCAATTTGTAGCAAAAACTAATCCACTAATAAGTTTCACTGCTTTATATAAACAAGAAAGCAAAGCCATAGCAACGACTGGAAGGAATCAGAAGAACTGTAATTTCCTTTAAGCCTTTAATCTCAAAGTGCAAGACCGAATCATTCATTGCTATGTTATGTTTCAGATTTTCATAGATATGGAACAAGAAAAGCTGAGTGTGCTAATCAATGAAGCGTCAATCAAATTACAAGAGCCTATAACCAGTTCTGAATCATTAAATCTTTGGAAAGTAAAGATGTTCACTTTGATTAATGAAATTGCTGCATTGAAACTAGCTACCAAATTATTACCATGTGAAAGTATTGCATCTCTAGATCCTTCTGATTGGACACTTACCCAATCCGTAGCCCATGAAATGCTCGACTTATCATTGGAACACATTCGATTTGTACGAAATCGACCCATTTGGCAACCAGTTCCCGAACATATTCGTGTAGCGCTTGAAGATGAGCCCTTTCCTCAACATGGTCAATCGCTACTCGATGTTTGCGATGCGGTCACCAAATATATTATGCCATACTCCAGAGGCAAAGATGCTATTCACAAATGACGTAATCAAAGTAGTTTCATGAGAAAAGCATCTTGTGATAGTTTTGTGAAACACGGCTTGAAAAGAGTGTTGAAGTGTTTATGGGCAGAAATTTGGCCCCCCCCCCCCACAGACCGTGGTAGACGTAGCAACGAAACCGTCACAGACCGACAGACTAAATAATTTCTATAAGAGCACATATCATTCCAGAGGGTTAAAAAAACTATCACAAAACGAATATCGTGTTTCACACTTTTAATCCCATAGGGATTACGGTAACAGCTTTCCATATGAGAGCCATGAAGATCCAGTCTGTTTATTATCAGTGAAATATATAAATCATGTCCTTTTCTATATTTTCATGGTCTTCACTTATGATGCGTCATCCTTGGTATATTTGTTTGTTTGTTGTCAGTCAATATTATTTGAGTCATGAGCACGGAATCGTTGACTCATTTGCATTTATATAAGGTTGTGTGGTTTGTGAGTGAGATTGCCCTTTTTGGCTTCATCATCCTGATGTTTTCTGCTTCATTCATTTGGTTAGAAATATATATATATATATCGGAGTTCCTCACATGATGCATCCACAGGTCTGCTGCAAACACTGATAGGCAGATCAATCACTTTACTTTGCAATTTCTCAAAACGCATACTATATGCTTGTCGAACCGCTGCGACAAGCATAAGAACGAGCTGCCGTCCAATCCAAAAAGAGAAATCGATCTCATAGATCTCGAATTTGACTAAGATCTATGTTTCAACCCAAAGTAACAAATAACCACCATACTATCCGTAACGAAGAACAACCATGCAATAAAATCATCGATAGTACGCCGGTTTTTTTCGGAACAACTAAAAGAGAATTTCAATAACTGATTGGATATTTTATCGCTCAAAAGACGTGGGACGCTAAGAAGCAAAATTGGTCAATGTCGAAAATCGATCTTTTTCATTTTCCAACGAGTGAATGATGGTTAACTTGAATTTGATTGAAATAAAAAATGTCGAAAGCAATAATGAGGGTGTTGGTAAGAGCGTAAGTGCGAGTATGATAATGGTGAAGACCTCTACCATGATTAGCTTCATTGTTGGCACTAGCTAATTGTGGAAATTTATAGCATTTGGGATTTTCGACATTTTTCTTTTCGAAATTTTTACTTTCAATCAAATTCAGGTTAACCGAGCTGTACTTTGTTACGCAGATGAAATGATGTGTACACTCAGCGTATAACTGAATTCATTTTATATTAAGGAAATGTTCATCCAGTATCAAATGCACGCAAGTTGATAGAGCTTTCTGAACTCTACAGAATGATATAAATCCATTACTGGGAGCAGTTTGTAATTTTGAGAAAATAAAATAGAGTACTGCTGTAAATATCATTTTAATAAATTATTATTTATTTCATCGAAATTATATTATAATAATATATAAAAAACGTTTTAACGTAGAATATTCTTATGTAATGACTGATGCAAAAGTCTTGGCGCAAATGTCGAGCACTGCCGTACAACAACGATGCATGGTATGATTCTAATTCTTTTTTTTATATGAAAGAGCAATCAAAACTGTTTCTAACCATATGTTACTTTTTATATTTTCACATAGAAATGCTTTCGAAAAAAGCTGAATCAGAAATGCTCGCTTAGGGAGTTGTAACTTTCTATAAAAATGAAAGTGAATTAGTTTTAAAACATGCTGTAAATTATTTAAAAAAAAAAAACGTTCCGGTTAGAACAATTTATAATGTTATTAAGAGATATCGTAAACATAATTCAACAAATTATTTACCAAAAACTGGTCGTCCAAAGAAAATTTCTGATCAAGAACTCAAAACATTGGTTCGACTAGTTGACAATATGGTGGGAGTGAGTCAACGTCGTCTTGGTCGTCGATTTGAACTGAATCAATTGATAGTTAGTCCGAATTTGAGAAAACGAACATCAGTTCCAGTTTATAAACGAAGATCAGCACCGAAATACATAAGTGATTATTAACAACAGTGCGAAAAATCCAATAGTCTTAAATTGTACAAAAATATTTCTCCCAATTGTCAACTCATTTTGGACGATGAGAAATATTTCACACTTAGTGGTAATGTTCCTGGAAATAATCCATATTATTCATCTGATCCTTCATCAGCACCAGAACATATCAAGCTTAATCCGGAAAAAAGTTCGAGCTACATTTATTGATATGGCTTGCTATCTTTCCACGAGGGATTTCCAATCCCTACATTCATCGTTCAAAGATTGCTATACGTGACGAAATTTATTTAAAATAGTGTATTCGTGGCCGTCTTCTCTTTTTCATCAAAAACATCATCAGAATGATGATATTCTGTTTTGGCCTGATTTGGCGTCATATCATTATGCGTATTCGACGTTACACTGCTTGGAGTCGAATAATGTTCCTTATGTTCGTCGAAGCCAAAACCCTCCTAATGTACCTCAATGTCGACCAATCGAAAATATTTGGGCTTTAATTGAACAGATGGTATATCAGGGAGGATGTGAAGCCAAAAATTTGGATCAATTAGCAAATCGGATCAAATCGAAGATAAAACAATTAGATCAAACAGTGGTGACAACCATGCTTCAAGATATCCGAGGAAAGCTTTTAAAAATGTATCAGAAAGGTGTTTATTCCGCATGTTGTACTTTTTTATTATTATCTATTTTTCATGCTCTTTCTAGTAAAAACTGAACTAGGATCATAGAATTTACCGTTATTTTACAGTAGAACCCGACATTTGTGCCAAGACTTCTGCACCAGTCTTTATTATCATAATATAATTTTGATTAAATAAATAATAATTAAATAAAAATGATCTTTACAGCAGCAGTCCTTTGCTTTCTCAAAATCTACAAAAAGATATTTTTTAATTAGGAAACAATCATAGGTCACACCAGTTGACTAGCACCCATATTATCTGATTGTGTAGGAAATTGCATTTTTCGTCAATATCGGTTCTATTAACATATTAATTTAACCTTTAATTTTGACAATCTATAGCATATTTGGAATCAGCATTAAAATTTGGGTTATTAAATGGTCTTACAAAAGCGATTGAAAGATGTTGCATTTTTGCTAGAAATTTACCGTAGTCCCCATTAGCAATATCGTGAGATCACATCACGTTTCGTAAACAATACTGAACGAGGGAGCTATTATTGGAGAACGTAAAATATGTGAGCATGAATCTATGGTAGTCGGATGTTGCTATCCGTAAGGTTTAATGAAACGTCTGGTAACAGACTCGTTGTGAAATTGTTCACTTTAATTTCAGAATGTTAAAGAACTTCAACATAGGATATACACTAAGTTTTTAATGACTCTTTTAAAAATACTAATAGTTTGAAATGTAACCTTTCATGCTCAGCTTGGTTTGAAAAAAATGGGACTGAAGACTAATTTTCATGTCCCCTAGATTTCTGTGGAAACTTGCAATATTCATATTTATGACGAAAGAAAGTGCACTTTTATGTTTTTCTCAGTGCAATAGATTTGCAATGGGTATCAGATACACACTCCCATGACTTCAATACTGTGGATTAGTGAATGGAGTCGATTGGGTGTACGTGATATAAAAAATGATAAAAATTCAACATTTCATTAAAACCGAAATGTTGTGTACTCCTGTTAAATATCCTGGGCTAAATCAGTTTGTCTTTTCCGATGAATTTTTTATGGACACAGTATATCGACAGAATTTCTGTTTCAATTTCGAAGGGATATCATCATTCATACCCAATCAGCATTGGATGTGATCCTCGTCATCTGAAACATTAAAAACATGCATATCAGCCCTTAATTTATGGGTAATAAGCTTTTGCACTGCTAGTACGAGTTGCTGTCAATCATTTCCAATTAACAGGCACCTCAAAATAAATGACAGGTTTTCTTACCGATGAAATTATATAGGACTTATCTATACTTTTCACTTATCATTACATGATGTCTTTAAACAATTTAAAACCTACATCAATACAAAAGGTCAGCTCCATAAGTGCGTTTTAGATTTAATTTAAGTGTGAAGTGTAAGAATATTTAAAACATTTGGTACTGTGAATGACTGATGATTGACTTTATCACTACAAATTACCAAACAGCTATCAAAGGTGTGGAGTAAACAAGCAGTCAATGGATCGCAAAATCTATATAGAATTATCAGTACAATGGATTAAAATACCATCTGGTACACTGAAAAAAAAAGGTACCACACGAAACCTTTGAGGTTTCGTCGAGTTTTACTATACTATATAAGTATCCGTAGAATAATGCGAAACCTGCATGAGGTTTCGCGATATCCAAGGTTTCGTAAAAGACTTTAAAGAGTTTTAAAATATAAAAAGGTTTCGTCCGGAACCCTTCGAATTTTACGTTGCCACAGAGGTTTGGTCAAAAACTCTTTTGAGTTTCGTATTCAGAAGGGTTTCGTAATATTCCTTCTGTAGCATTCGTTCATCAGAAAGTTACTATTCAAAATAATAATTTCTTCCTCCTAGAGTTCAGAATTTTCGAAGAAGCACATTCACACTCATCGAGCGACTTCGTTTCGGAGTTTTTTTCCAATTTATCCAAGCTTGTCCCACTTTAAAAGCTATTGCCTGCTTCACAAGGAAACCATGATCTCAGTTCAAAATATTTCTCAAGAACCTTTTC